AGAGAAATCTCTGAAAAAGGCATTGCAACCTCAGCCTGCAGGAGCTCTGCTGACTAGTTTACAGCACTTTTAGAGAGAGGTTTTGATCAAGTACATCTTTTGTAACTGCTCACCTTCTTCAGTTTCTCATTTCTTGTTCTGCTTGATGAAAATACATGTATGGTGTCCACTTTCCAAATGACTTGGCCAGCTCTGGATCTTATGCATGCAGAATAGTATGAATTATTACAGATTTACTTGCTCCATGTGCTGGCAAACTGCTCTCTGCTGCACTTCCACGTTTTGTTTTTTTTTGTAGCATGACATAGGTACTCCACTGTGGCTTTTTATGCAGTACTGCAGTAACAAGTACTTTACTAGAAAGCATCTGTAAAACACGGTGTGACCAAGTGTGTGGCTCTCAGTTATATGTAACTAAAACCCAAAAACTCTTCCACTCCACCCTCCCCATAATACCTTACTATGTTGAGAATGACCAGAAAACCCCACCTCATTTTTAAATGGAGACATGTAGAATAAAATAACCTGTTTTTGCTTTTCACTGTTACCCAAGTACCTGTTCCCATACATAGCACATTTTTTTTTGCTGCAGTCACATGTGTAACTGTACAGCCAACAAGGATTTTCTTTCATTCATCTTTTCCCCTCGTATAAATATAGGTTAAGATTTAGATTTTCCCTCCTGACAAATGAGCAGAAATAAAATTAATCAGATGGGGAGAAAATACAGCAGTCTGAATGGGGAAACAAGATACTTGGCAAAAGCATGTTTTGAAGAAAAACTTTCCAGCAAATTAAACATAAAACCTTTCATGTCTGCTACAGAGTTTGACCTTTCCTTCTCCTCTCCACCTCCTATGTTTAAGTGCTTCCTCGCATGTATTGTAACATGCTAGCTCTAGCTCTGCAGCCCTTGTGGCCCCAGGCAGTACTTCAGTCCATGCTCTAGCTTCTACTGGAATCACTTCATCTACTTCATAGGGTTTTGGATCAGGCCCTTCAAAACAGCCTAAACTTTCCACTAGTAAAACCAAAGCCTTTCACACATCTTACAGTTGGATTATTTTCAGAAAGAGAAGGTAGACTAGAGGTCTAGTGTGGAAGCTGGGTTCAATCCCCTGGGCTGCACACCTCCACTGTCACCCTGGGCCTTACCTGCAAGGGCCCTACCTTCTCGCTGCAGCACGAGCATTTTCTGTGCTGGGTCCAGGCACTAACCAGGGTGCACGGTGTGGTGTGTGTGGCTCAGGCTCTTCAGGCAGAAGGGGCAATCCTAGTGAAGTATCCCCCGCTTTAGATAAATGCTTTTTCCATTGCTTTATAAAGCACGCTCCTATGTGAAGCAAGTGACACAGTGATCATGCTCAACAGTTGCCTACTGGGCTAGCTGCTTTGGATGACAGAATCAGAGGATACCTTTAGGGTCTTGGCGTAGCCCAGAGTGCAAACCCACCTCATCTTCAAGAGCCATCTATACCAGTAGCAGTTCACCACACCAGCCTTCCCCTCCCTCTCCCCTTCCCTACCTCCCCCCCAGTTTCATGTAACACGCTCCCTCTGCACCAACCCTTCCTGGAGATTGCCACCTCCCAGCAGTCTGCCACTAGAAGCGCTCATGTGAGGATGGCATCCTTTTGTGGCAAAATCAGCTGGATAAGCTGGGACATGCAGTAAAACCGCTGCAGTAACCTACCTTGGGCCTGAAGCTAAAACAGTTCACATAAATGAGCAACACTAAAACACACAGCTGTTCTTCAGCCGATCCAAGAAGGGACTGGATATTTTTCTATCTCAAGCAAATTTGCTGGAAGGTAGGAGAGCTACCTAAATGGCAGTAACAGCCTCAGTAAGGCCATTTAAACTCCTGCTGCAGATCTGACAGAGGCTTGGGAGCTTGAGAGAGACCAAAGCATATCAACACAGGCGCCACCCGAGGCTCCGACACAGGCTGAATTACAATAACAGAACAACTGTGAATTCTCAGACAAGTTTGTTACATGGCAACGGAGGGCATATTATTTATAGTTTTCAGCAATCTTGGAATCTGTACCCAGGTTCTGCAAACACAGAAGGCCTGGTTCCTTTCCAAAAAAAAGAATGAGAATGGAAGTCATTGAGCACGAGGATGGCTGGGAAGAGCTGAGGGTTAAACCAAATACAGCTGCCTCCCAGGAAAATGCAGTATTTCTCCTGAGGCCTCTCTTGACAGTTTTGACAGGTTTATAACAGAGACAATATAGTTTGGAATAGTGAAATTATCTTCCTAACCTCTTTTGTGATTGGGTTACCCAGACGGTCTAGACACCACAGATGTCTGCAGTAAGTCAGTGATCCTTCCCTCACCTGTAGCACAGCAGCTGTTTTTCCTATTGATGGCTGTTTTATTTTGTTGATGACTAATGCATCAAGAGGCTGGAAAATGAGTTACACTTCCTCATCCAGTCAGCATTCAAATATGCAGCTCATATCGCTATTTGACTTTTAATTTTTGACCACAGATGCAGCTTTTTAGGGAAGGAAGGTCAGACAGAGACCATACTTGTATCCATCACCTGATCTTAAGTTTTTTAAGTTCCCAGAGTAAAGGCCAAGTCTCCTTGTGAAGTAGTGCCAGCACTAAGAAGAGAATTTCTTTTTCACCATGTCTTCCTTTCAGCACCCTCCCGTGTGTTTTTTTCCATTGACAGAGTTCACTACTCAGGAAAAGGCTGTATCCACTCTCCATCTGAAAGCATATGTGCATGTGTGTTTTTTCTCATAACTCCTCTTTGTGAGCTAACGGCTGTAGTGGTTGCCTGAGTGATGTCACGCTGAGGCTCAGCCTTTCCATTCAGTCACAGGCAGGCTTGGGAAGAATACAAGGCTGCAGCTGCTCTGGATGGAAGTGCTGATACACATCCTTAGCCCCTCTCCCCAGTCTGTCCCCTCTCCTCACCCACTGTTTGGCTGACCTAAAGATTTCCCTGCAAATCTGTCTGGCAGGCTGTAAAGTCTTGGCTCAGTTCTTGAGAACTGGAAACAAGCTTCAGGTCTACCAAGGACCTCAATCAATGGCAGATGAACCTATGTTTTTGTTTTGTTTCCCTTTTACATCATCTCAAGTACTGTGAAATTGACAGCTTTCCCACCTTTCTGACACATTGCAGGGTTTGGGCTGAAGGCCTGATTAGGATCCAGACACCATGCTGTTACACAGAAAGTGAAGCCAGGATCATGGATTATTTGTGAAAATAAACACCACCAGCCAAGCCCACCCTGCAACAAATCACAAGCAGCCTCATAAAGGTCCTTTACAGTCCCTGCCGGACATGATGTAAGTGTCGAGCTGCCCAAGCAGCCCCTCCTGGCCTCCCTCTTGCCTGCTCTGGAAACTCTGCGCACACAGCAGGGCACACTCCCTCCCTCCTGAGGGTCTCCCTGCAGGGAAGGGGCAGTTCTGCTTTGCAGACTCTAGCTTTGATACTTGCTACATGCTCTTCAAAACCCATCTGGACTATGCTGCTACTAAACAGTTGTGTGCCATAGGAACATTACAGTTGAAGGGCAAGACAAACACCTGCTAGAAAACAAGAGGCAGGGAGTGACACAATTAGGACTGTAAAAGGAGAACCCTAAGGTAGTCACCTTCATTTAAGCTGTTCCTCTAAACTAGGGCCAGATTGTCATTTAGAACAAGTAGCAGATAGCTAAGAAACTTGTGCTCTTAAAGAACAACCTAAAAACATCAGTGGAAATAGCTGTGTACAGCAACCATTAAGAAGTATCTTAAAAAATAATAATAATAAGTATATTTGTACAGGTAGAATTTGATTTTTTCTAGTTTAAAATATGATAGGGTGACACAAAAGTCTATGAAAATAATGAAATACATTTATGTACAGGAGAGTCATCTAGATGTGTTTCTGTAACAAATCCTGGGGGGTATATGGGGGCCATTAAAAAAATATTGTACGTATGTTTTACTGTAACATATGAACTTCTATTTTTCAACCACCTTTCAGAGACCCCTTGGAAGTTTTCCAAGGAAACCTTCCTTCCCTCCCCCTCCACTTCACAGCCCATACATTAAAAACACAGCGTTCTAAAAATAGTTTCCTCTCCTGGTCAGGCCCTTTGGTTTAATCCCTGTAGTTTCTATAGAGGCTTTCTTAACGGGAATACAGTAGTACAATGTGATGCTGAAGGTTATGTTCTGTCCTATAATTTCATTTGACTTTCCCAATTTACTCTTTCATACACAAGTGAAAAAAAGAATATGAAGGGGAGGAGAAAGATCAAGTGTGTCATTTAGCATGTTTAACAGTCGTGGGTTTTGTAGTCTTTTATTATTTTTACTGCAAAGCTAACACTGTCTGAAAACAGTTAGGCTTCTTATTGCTTTTACCTGCTAAATTCACAAGACTTGTTGTCTGCATTACTTAAGAGAGAAGATTAGTATCCCTATTAATAAATTTTATTCTACCCCCAAAATGTTAAATAATTTTAAAATTCTAACGGTTTGGAAAGGTCCTGTTGTTTCTTGTTGCATGAAAACCCTAACTGACATTATCATGTTTGCCTTGCAGCAAGTGACAATTCACACTCCATAAAGCATTGTATGCATTTTAAACCTGCATTTGCAATGGCTGTAGGATGTCAGTGGTGGCAAGGAGAGTACAGACAACTGGATCTCTAGTCTTAACAGGCACAGGAAAAAAAAAAAAAAAAAAAGACAACTTCTACCACTTAAAATTCAAATACATTGATGAGACTTTCCCCCTCCCCCCTTTTCGATTTCTGAACAAAACCCAGAGCTCGGAGATGGTTGTTTTTCCTGAATTGCTACTGTGGTCTCCTCCCATTGTCCTGATGACTATTCAGAGTACATGCAGCTTGCTCAGGCCTTTTGACAACAAGAAAACTTAATCCTGTTTCCACAGCAGTCACTGTGTAGGCATATATTACACAAATGGCATGCTTTATTAAAATATCATTTTGTGCAGCAAAGGTGGCAGCAGCTGTTTTAGGTGCTTTTGTTTTTCCCTTTTATTGACACTAGTGGTATCTGCGGTTATTAAAACTAGAGCTTTCTAAGTGAAGGTAAGGAAACAGACCGTTTTCCTCCCCCAGTGTTATTTCTGTGTAATTCCACTCAGCTATGTTGAAGTCACAACTCACCCAGTACTCTATTTTACACAATCCTCACTTAAAAATAATTAAAAAAAACAAAAACAAAAACACAATAACAACTCAAAAGCAAGGCAGCAAGGGCAATTTTAGTCTTCATTCCACACCTAAATTCAGTGTCCTTTCAATTATATTGATTTGAAGATGAGATGTAATGCTTGATTTTGCTAGGGTTCAAGGGCTGTGGACCCAACCAAACAAGTAACTTCAGCAGAGCACATACATACCCAAGAGCTTTGTAGCCAGAACACCACACACCTTCCAGGATTTAGCTGGTAGTCTATGGCAGAAAGAAAAGTATCCTTACATGTTCTTTTCTCTGGTGGAGGTTTTGGATATTAAAGAACCATATCCACATCTTAATTCAGAAATGAATATATTTTAACAAACATTAGTAGCATCTCTATCTTCTCTTTATAGATTGGTAGTACATCAGAAAACACTATAGAGTTTACTTATCACTGACTTCCAGTGGTGTCCTTCATTGCAAGAACTACAGAACTACGTACTTGTCTGTAATCAATGGGTAATAGCTAAAACAAATATTAGCTCTTCAAACAGCAGCTCATTGGAGGCAGCTGTGGTTATCTCAGTTGCTTATGTCAGTCATCAGAGCAAAGCTTTTTCTGTTTGCTTCTTTTTCAGTTGTTCCCTGCAGTTGAAGAGACAATAGGTTCAATCCAGAGCTTCTTGTCACACTAGCAGGATACCTGATGTATTTGGGCATCTAATTCCTAGCTTATTACTCTAAGACTCTTTGAAGACTGCCTTTGATGGTTAATCTTACTTGCTTTGACACCTGGTAGAAGGGCATATCTATTACTATTACCCAATGATGGAGCTTTACCAGCTCATGAAACTTCTCTCTGGGTTCAACAGGGCAGTTTGAATAGGTTTATAAAGATGTTCTTCACCTGCAACTGACCTTCTTCTGCAGTAACTTTTTGGCTGGATCTGCAATTGAGCCTGTTAGACAGCACACAGTCTAATGTCAATGTGAGCTGGAAGGATCAACACTTACACCTCAGCCACTACATTACAGACTAAAGAAAGTTGGCTGTCAGACAGAACTGTTCCAGCCAAGAATCTGTAGTACTTTTCTCTTCACGCACCAAATATCACACAAGACAGGAAGACAAACAGAGGAGCCAACGAAGCAAAATATTAACTGAGCTCTTGGGCTGTCAAGAGTGCTAGAACACAGCAAGACTTCCCCTTGCTACTCCCACCCTGGGGTTCCCACAGCTGTCCAACATTGCCCTGCCCTATGCCTGCCAAACAGGTGTCTTTGCCTCCCTGAGGGCTTGTAACAAATGGCTATTTGCATTCAATTTGTGGAATGGAAGCTGTTTCCATAAGAAGTGAACTTGATCCAAGCAACAGATTCTGGGATCCCAAAGCCTGCCTGTTTTCATAACCCATGCTCTGACACAGCCTGCCCCTTTCTACTGAGTTGGGCAGGTCAATGATTCCTTTGTGCCTGCATCCTCCCAATCTGCCTTGTTTTATGAGCTGGTAAATAAAACCTTCAGTGATGCAGGTACCCCTTACCAGGCAATACAGTAGCTTTTAGGTTTAGAGGCTTGAGCCCAAATCTGCTCAGAGCTTTAAATTCAAGAGAGCCACTGCGAAAAGCTATTACATACACATTCCTTCCTTATGCATAATTTAAATACTGTCAACACTTCTTCCTTCAGTCTAGCACTTCCTACATTAATCACCCTGCAAGTCAATTCAGTACTGAACAAAACAATTGCATCATGATGTAACAATTTGACCATCCTAAGCTGAGGCTGCCTAAAATTGTTAACTGCACGCTGCAACAGATTCCTAAATGACTTGGTGTTTTAAGTTCATTATGCATGCTCAGAATATTCTTAGCTTTCCTGATACATTCCTCAGATATGAGGAAGCCAGGAAGGCTAACTTCAGCCTTCTGTCAAGAGGTCCTATAATTTAGGTTTAGGGAGTTTTAGACACTGGCATACCTCTCCACTGTAAGGTACAACAGATCCCCACCCTTCAGAGAAGGCTTAATGAAGCCCTTCTGCAGAAGGGACACGCAGGTGCCTGTATGGGAAAGATGCGAGCATCTTTCCTAGAGAGGCCAGACTAGAGAGATCTTGAACACTCAAGTCAGAGTTCTAGTCACATTACCTGCATTTAGGTTATGCTGCCTAGCAGTCAGTATTGACCATTTGAAGCAATTGTTGTCTATCATAGGCATTCACAGCATTTTCTATAACAGCTGACAGGAGTTTTTATTCAGGTGCTGAAACTACACTGAATCCTGTTCTAACACTACTGTCATCTTGCAGCTCAAGTACCTAGCTTAACAAGTTGTTTACAGGTAAAGTCACTCACAGTGAAGCTGACCCAGAACTTTGTTATCTCTTTCAGAAGAGAAGGAGTAGCTATACAAGCAGTGCTTCATTTAAGAGCCATTAAGCTCAGATCCCCAGAATTGTTCTAGGACCATCACCTAGATAGACTTTCCCCAGATTAAAGCTAATGTTCAACCCAGTACTTAAAAGTTTCTTTATTTTACTCTTAAATTTAAACTTTAATGACACCTTAAAAAGCAGTTACATCAAAGATTGGTATTGCAAAAAAAAAAAAAAAAGTGGAGGTGCAGTTCCAAAAAAAAAAAAAAAAAAAAAAACAAAAACCAACCCATAGTGTCTTCAGGTATAAAAATAGATATCTAAGTTATTATCCATGAAAAGTGTACCACCATTTCTGCCTTGAGCTGGTCCTGCCAGCTTTTGTGTCATGACTCCCCAGTACAGAGCTCATGAACTCATATTGGAAGGAGCGTCTCTGAGCTTCACGTCACAGGCATGACTCACAGCAAAACTGCTGCGCTGCAGCACGCAGACCCCAGCCTTAGGTTTTTTGAAGACATTTCAAAGTTTTCCCTTGAGTGAGTAAGAAGCATCCAAACATCTCCTGGGAAGCGTATGTCATGTACACAAAGCCATCTTCATCTTTGTAGTCCCTGTACACTTCTGCCATTGTCAAGGACATACTGGCTAAGCTCTTGTTGTTCACCAGCAGGTAGAAAGCTTGTGTAGCAGTTAGAGCCATCCTGCTTCTAATTGAAGAGGGGAGAGGAAAGGAAATAGAGGATTAAGCATCAGCACATTTAAGACAACATCAACTTTAGTCTATGAAATACACAACGAAGAACAGTAGCTTATTAGGGAAGCTATGTAAAAGAAACACTGTGTAAAGTCAATTTGTGGTTTAATGTCTTCATCAGCAGGAAGTTAACCATGTGCTTGGAAGCCAGGAGGCTTGTGCTCCAAGGAAAGGCTTAAATTTCTAGACCACAAGGGCTACTGAGTGAGCTTTGAGTTCTCAGAGTTCTCAGTTACTGGGGAGAAGTGCTAAGCAGAAACCAAAAGCTCCTGCTGTACAGCTACAGCAAGTGATTACAGAATAGTCAGTTACACTTAAAGTAAGCCTGCCTTCAAAAGAAGAGTTCTTGAAGACATAACATACAGATCAGCTGTGCAAGAGACAAAAGCACCTCCTACAGGAGCTAATAGCCAGGAAGATCTCAGTGCACTTTTAGGAGTCTGAAAGCCTTGCTATTTCCCAACGCTTTGGCAGAGAATGTACTAAGTACTTTGGGAGACTTCTCTGCTACAGTGCTTTTGTAAGGAACAACTTACAAGCGTGCTTCCCACGGCTCACACCTAGGAGTTGCTATCAGCTTGAGCAAGGCACAGCAAGAGCTAGGAGAACAGAGCCACAGCACCAGCTTCAGCAAGCAGGAGGAAAGCAGAGATGGAGTTTAGCACAGTCCTTACACGCTGCCCTTAGAATGGAGGAGAGGAGGCTTCACAGGTCCAGAAAGCAGGAGGGAAAGCAGGAGGCACCTCCTTTCCCCAAAGCACCCGAGCAAGCGCCTCTCCCCGCGGGGGGAGGCAGCCACGGCTGGAGACCCCCTCCCGCCCCGGTGCCCGCAGCCCACCTGATGATGGTTATGAACTGCGTCATGGTCAGCTCCTCGGGAACAAGAAACTTGGTTTTGTCCAGGAGAGGAAGGTATTTTTCCTTCTGGTACCTCTCAACAATCACCTGTTTTAATCAGAGCCGCTTAGAAGCCATGAAGGCATCCCGCCCCGCGGTCCCAAACTTCAAAGGAAGAGGCACCGGGAGCCTTCCCCGAGCACGGCGACAAAAGCGGAGCCTTACCGGGATTTTCGTCGGGAACTTGGCCCTGATGCCGGCTACTTCTTCCAGCCTGGTGGCTGCGCGGGAGAGAGGACAAGCGTTACCCGTGCTCGCAGCCCGCCGCCCCTGCTGCGCTCCGCGGCCCCGCCGCCCCTACCGAAACTCTTCCTCAGCTTGAAGGGCCGCGCCGCCTGCGCTCCGGGGGCCGCCTGCATCCTGCCTCCGCTGCTGCCTGCTGCTCCTGCTGGCGCTACCAGCCGCCGCCCCAAGCCTCTTATGGGGCCGCGGGTGCCGGCCCGGCCCCGACCCCTGCCGGGCTGCCTGGGGCCCCGCCCCGAGGGGCGGCCTCCGCGCCGAGCCCGGCTGCGGGCAGCCTCCCCGCCGCCCAGGGGGGCTTTGGGGACCCCCCAGAGCGGGCAAAATGTTCATCCCGTCTGTGTCCAGCCCGCCTGCGACCCTTGTCCTTTTTCAGGCGGCTGGGGCCATGCCAGGTCGGCTGTATCATATTCATGCCGTATCCTCAGGCTACCACTCAGGTGGCAAGGCACTGACGCTGGCACAGGCTGCCCAGAGAAGCTGTGGCTGCCCCATCCCTGGAGGTGTTCAAGGCTGGATGGGGCTTTGGGCAACCTGTTCTGGTGGGAGGTGTCCCTGCCCATGGTGGGGGGTGGAACCAGGTGGTCTGCGAGGTCCCTGCCATCCCAAACCATTCTGAGATACCACACTGTTTATTTCCTGAACAACCTGGGTGGTGACTTTTAATCCTGTCTCATCTCTAAGGCCTGACTGTGATTTTAATGGTTTCCAAGCAGACTTCAGGTCCACCTGTCTGCTGAATGTGATGAGACAGATTCCCAGCCCTCAGGGTTGCCTGTTTACTTGCTTTTACTTCAGCTGTCAAAGTGGCCTCACAGCCAGGCACGGCTCAGCAAGGAGTGAGGCTAACTGAAGGCTGGTTGTTGTCCATATAAGTCATCTCAGTGGATAGCTGGAATTGATCCCTATTACTTGGCTTGCTTTGCTTATACCTCTAAAATACAGTAGTTTTCATTTCATTCAATCTACCAGGCCAAAGGCGACTGGAAGCTGCTACAGTTTGTGAGTGAAGATTTATGAGTGCTGGACTCGGCTGCTTCTTCAAGCCAAAATCAATGACTGTCACTGCTTGTGCTTTTATTGTTAGTTTTGCAATATGTGTAGCAAAGCTTTTTTTTTTTTTTTTCCTAAACTTTTCCAATCAAAGGAGAATAAGCTCTCAAAAAAGAAAAAAAAAAAAAACAGGTTTGTAACCTCATAGTTACAATAACCTCCATTAAAAGTGTTGTGTAGCACTGCATATGCCCTGAAGATTCAGCAACCAGAAGATCGTTTTGAAAAGGCACATCTTTGTCAAAGTCTGTGCGCACTGGGTACGTGGCTTTCAGCCAGCCCTTGCAGAGCTCTGTGCCCAGTGCCTGAAGTCAGGAGTGGAAGTTGGTTGGAAGCCGAGGGCTTCGGTCACAGCACAAGCTCCCCCGTGTGGCACCACGAGCGGAGTTGTGTGGAGGGGGCGAGATCTTTTGCTGTGAGTACCCCCTGAGTGAGAGCTCCAAAGCTGCAGAGGACCTGAGCCAAGGCTGGAGTGGTGTGGACCCGCTCCTCAAGGAGCTCCTCCTGATGGGCAGCCTCTACAGCACTGTGGGTGAACTCCGGGGGCAGCTGTCAGAGCCAGGTCTCACATCAGTGCCCTGCTTCCTTTGCCATCCCTCACTGCACGTGGAGGAAGCGCAAGGGCCTGGTTCCACACAGACAGCAGCAGCCTTGCCTCCAGAGGGGCGATTTCCTTCCTGAACTGTGAGCTCCTACAGCAGCTGCTTGTGGGAGAACTGCGTGCCTGATGAGAGGGGGAGCCAAAGAAGAGAATTTCCAGTGAAATTCACAGTTAGGGCTCCAACTTCTGTGGCGGCCAACAGCAAGCATGGACTTGGGCCTAGTTTGCATGTGCCCTAAGCAGAGAGAATGGGAGGTCTTGCTTGTGTCTGCGTGGCAACTGCACTCTCTCTTGCATGGTTATCCAGTTCTGGACTTAAATATGGAATTCATTCCTGCTCCCCTTTGCCTTGGAAGTTTTTCTCACTTGCACATAATTAATGACCTGGTAAAGCAATTTTGTGTAGAGAACAGAGAACTCAGGGCCAAAGTGAACCAGAAAGAGAAGGATCAAAGCAAATTGTTATTCTATTTTATCCTGTGTGAATGCCCAGAGACTACACTCGTAGGAGTACTGTGAGTCCATAAACATTACAACAAAAGCTTAGAGTTGCCTATCTTATCTAGTCCAGTTTCATTGCCATGTTTATAGCCTTTTCCAGAGTCCCAGGTTTGCAGCTGTATAATTGAATGTTGATCATCATCCCTATAACAAAGTGATCCCAGCTTCATAGGTTTAATCATACACAGTCCTGGCTCAGGAGAAGTTATCTTAAATGCAGCAAATGAATATCACGTCCTTCACATTGTCCCATTCCAACTGAAGACATTAAAATACTTGTCTCATAGCAGCAAGGGGTCTTAATCAGTGAATTGCCTTCCCTGTGTGGGGAGGATGCAGGGTGTCAGAAATGTGAGGACTCTGTTTCGGTGGGAACCAGGGAGCTCCTGTAAAAGACAAAATTGTGGCTCATGTAGAGAGCCCAAAATAAGCTAGTAGGAGCTTTCTGGGAAAGGATAAAATTTGGTTTGTCCTAAAAGTGTTGCTGAAGTCTGAATACATGATACTGCCGGAGGGAGGAAGTGAGTCAGCTCATGACTGAGCTTGAGGGCTTTGCCTCCTGATCTGGTGAGGGAGTGCTTCTGTCATAGACCTTCTAGCATATGCAAGTTTTCTATTGTAAAATTTTACTGCTTTGTCTGCTGGTTCATTTTACATTTTCAGGAGTTTCCACTGCTTACCTTGTTTCTTGAACTTTTTCACCCAAATTCCTGCTTTTATTTTATTTTATTTTATTTTATTTTTTTTCCCACGGAATCAGGGGGAGGGTGATGAATGGGCTTTAATGCAAGGCCTTTTTCTTAGACTGTGCTGCTCCATTCATGCTGGATCTGCTCAGAGAAAGCAATCAATGTTAGAGGAAAGGCCTCAAGAACTAGAGAAAGCACATTTCTCCAAACTGTTCTTGTTCTGTAGTTATTTGTCATTCAAATCATACAGGTCCCTATGGATATGCAAGTCTCCCTGTACTAAACCAAATATAAGCAGCTTCAAAAAAAAAAAAAGAAGCCTGCCCCAAAGAACTTGAAATCTGAATTTCCCAGACAAGATAAAATGAGGTAGAAATAATTACAGCAGCTGCAAAATTCCAAGACGCAAAGAACGCGTGCAAGTTTTAACACAATTTCAAGGGGAAGACTGGTACAGCTGGTAACAGCTTCCACAGTGCTGGAGCAGAAATGCATCGAATTGATCATGGGACCACCCTGCCTCTTAGGGAATTCACACACACACACACACAAAATAAAAATAAAAAAATGAGATTTTACTAGTGATTGCATTACAAACTATCACAAACTATCAAATCCCTGATCAGCTGCCTTTATACAGTCGAATGCTGCATGTGAAATCACACTTCCTAAGCTTTCCAGTAATACCTGTAAGAAGAAAAAAGAAATATATTGTACAGGCAGGTTTAGCAGAGAGACGAGCTGCTTCTGAAAGGGTTTAGCCCTGACACACCACAAAGACAGGATTATACCATAGCGTTAACCTCTTGAGCATGGCTGTGTGTACGATCAGTTGCTATCTAGTGGGTCTGCAACTTAGTATTTCCCTAGAGGGAAATGCTAACCACTTCTTTGAATGGGGAATTGTCCCTGAGCTTTGTGAACACTCTTCTGTTCTTTCCTGCTCTGAAGCAAAAGCTCTGAATTGTATTTCCGTAGCTTGTACAAAAGTTTGAACGACACTAGCTGTGATCCACTATGGCTGTGGGTGGGTTTTAATAAGCTCTGTAACAACAACAGGAAAGATGTAGAAGACACTGAGGTTTTTGCAGCATTGTAGTGGAACCTCTGCCTCCCCTCTGCAAGTGCTTTTGAATCCCCAGCTGTGTTGCAGAGGCACGAGGACAAGCTGGGAGTCAGGCATTCACACCAACAACAGTGCTGCTTCCAGGTGGATCTGTGAGCTGTTGTGGAGCTGCAGACCAAGAGCTGCCCCTGCTAACCAGAGGACTGCAACGCTCCACTCAGTCTGCTCTAGTAGCGTGTAAGTGCTGAGAGGCTCTAGCCACAATTTCACCAGTTGTAGGGAGCATCCAGCTAAAATTCCCTTCTTTAACCGCGTGGCATTCCCTCTTTGGAAGCCTCCACAGTGGTATCTAGTGCTTGGGTACCACTGTGGCTGAAAGCCCTGTGAGGTTTAACGAGCCGGAGTGATTGGAGAGCTCCAGCTGCTGAGCATGGGGAATTTAAGCTGTGGTGGTTTAAAGCTAACCACCCCTACCCAGGCTCAGGAGTCATGGCTCTGAGCCTGAAGTCAGACTGCATCCTGCTAGCCTGTTCTGCTAAGCTTGCTGAGTGGTGTGATGCCTAAGGCAAATCCAAGGGCCAGAATCAAGAATCAGGAGAAAAACTCGATACATGGAAAAATGTGGACTGCCTTAGAAGTGATTTGTGTTTCAGTGGAAATTACTCACTCCACTGTTACATGGCAAAAAGCATCCCAGCACACCATAAACTGAGATTAGCTTTTCTTCATAAGTCACTGTGCAGGTGCTGGTGAGTTAATTCCAGTGTAGCAAAACTTGGATGACAAACAGGGCATTGCTCTGGCTATAAATTCCATCCAGCATTGAATAATCCTGAACACAAGCTGATATGTAAGCAAGAGGCTGAGGGATTAAGTGCAGAAGGGACAAAACAGTTATGTGTAGACTAACCATATAAATGTGAGTGATACAGCACTGGAGGGACAAGGATTTATTTATTTAAGCAGCCTAACTGAATGGGAAGAGAAACTGCAACATGATGTTCTAGGGAAAAAATGTGAGTTGGCACAAGGAAGGCTTATTTGTCGCACTGTGAAAGTCTGAAGGTTTACAGAACTATGCATAGTTATCTTAAATACGTGCTTTCATGAGGGCTGTCTATAAGTGACAACAAAATATTCAAGTCAAGAGGGGTTTGGAAAGCCCTCATATGTTAGGGCACAGCCAGCCAGTTTAACAGCTCTTACAAGAGTTTTCCTGAACATTTGCGTGCCCCCTCAGCAACCCTAGTTATAGACGGGGAATCTTTTGCCTCCCTTTTGCCTTCTGCAGCTCTGAACCTGACTATTTCTCCTCCTGTGATGCAGAAGCAAACCCACCCTCTACTTCTCATAAACCTAAAGTAGTTGTGTGGCAGCAACTAACTTTCTCTCCAAATTCATGAGCCTTTATGCCAAGCTAGTTGGAGTATTCTTCTGGCTTAGGAGATGCTTACTCCTGTATCTCAGATTTATGGTCCAAACTCATCTGTTAATGAGGCTCAGGTCATGAACTGAGCCCTTCTCAAAATGCTGAGATAAGTTTAAAAGTCACTAGTGGTATTACTGGGTTGATTGGCTAGTGGTTATGTGTACTTTGGGTTCTTTTCCTTTGTCTCCTGATCTTTTTAACCTTTATAGTGAACCCAGGTCAGATCTCTCTAGCTTTTTTAGTGCAGCCCCAAGGGTTAGAAATGAGCTCTGTTACATTTAAGTGACAGACACAGCTGTTTTGTATCAGAGCTTGGGATTGAAAGCTTCAAATGTCTCTTCTGTGAAAGAAACATCAGCTAACCTCATTTCATCTGTTCTCTCTTTAGTACCTTTACCTGTTCTGAGCTGGAGTCCAGCTGATTTCTCTCCTGGTTTATTGTTGTCATAAGGTTAAAATACTGTTGTCTGTGCTGCGTGTAATGTATGGGTAGCAGCCCTAGAGATAGCAAAATTTAAGCAATATTTTGATGGAGTAGTTTCTTCATACTAGTTTTTGATTTCAAGGGTACCATTAAGCAGTGCTTTTCTTAAATGTTATGTCCTCCACTGAAAGATTTTGAGACCTTTTTCAGCATTAACTTGTTAAATTCCCAACCATGTTAAAAGAATCAAGCAGGCTGAGTTACAGTGAGGTATCCTCCATCTTTAAGTCATTCCACATGGCAAATCCTTCTGTTTTAGCATTTTGAATTTGAGGCCTTCTCAGTGACTTTCTTCAAGAATTGCTCAACATGAAGATTTTTAACTAGATGTAAAATAAAACAATGACGTTTTAAAGAAAGCTGGCATAAACTGGCAAGCTGTTGGTTAAGGTCCCTTGCAAATACCTCTCTAATTTTCTGTTTCCTGCGTTCTCCTGCAGGGGCTGATTTCAAAGCCTAGGATGATGCTACCAAGGCAAACACATCATTGGATCCTTCTTTCCTACTACATGCCCTCTCCTTTTCACTGCTGAGAAGGAATGAATTATGTTTTCCTTGTACAGAAGAAACAGAAGTGATGCTCTTGCTAACCAATTTTCTTGGTCCTCCCTCTCTGAAAAACTGAAGAAGTGCTCTTCCGCATGGACAAGACCCTGGTTTTCCTTTGAGGTAAGGCACATAATTTAATGGATTTCCCTTTGTAAGAGATCATCATAACCTTCTGTAGTCACTGCTGCTTTGTAGCTTGCAATAAAGGAGCGCACTGAATAGCACTGTTTGGGGGTTCTTGATAACAAGGCCCTTCTGTGGGTCAGGGCCTGGTTAATGAGTGCTGTTGCTGAAGCATGGGCTTTTGTTGGAGGTTGTGCGTATTTGCTTCTCACAAGGGACTGCTGGTACTTCACATGCGTAACAGCAACAGTTGATGGAAAAATGTGATAAAAGGGGAAACGCTCCACATTTTGCCCTGATTAGAATTTACTGAGCGTCTGTTTGAATTAATCTGATTTTTTGGACGTCTTTTGTAGGCTGGAATTCTGGGAACATGATTTCCCTCTTCTGGTGTCTTCTGTTTGACTTGGGAGCACGTTTGCATTCTGTCGTGCTGGTTTTAGCAGTGCTACTGCTATGATTACAGATCTCGGCGCTTGTGCCTTGGTGAGAGAGAAGAGTGTGCCATGTTCTGCAACAGTGGATTTCAAAGTAGTGCTTTGTCCATATAAGATGATAATCTTGTTTGAAGATATTTTCCTTGCATACAGTGTTTTAAAGCGTTTTCACCAGCATGGCTGAGTTGTTTCTAGACGGGATGTCAGTGGCTTTGCATCCAGCCTGTGCCTGGCCTCCCTGCTGAGACTGCCAAGAATGTGTCAGATGGTGCCAAAAGTAGCTATTGGGGTTTGGTTTGTGGATGCTGGAAACTGGTTACTATTTTAACCTTCAGAAAGGGTGTTATAGCTGACAGAGAGCAGAGGATTTTAAAAATATCTTTAACATGTCCCTGTGAAGCTGGCAGCTTTCTTGTTGCTCGTCTGGAATGCCTGAAATGAAGGTCAAGAGAGCCCAGCTTTTGGGGTGGCAGAGAGCATGCCTCACTGTGAGAGCAGTTCACAGCGTCTCTAAGAGTGGCCACAACCTTTGGATACCTCCCTTTTCAGGTGTGTGTTAACAAGGTCAGATCCCTACTAGGAAAGTGCTCTGCACTTACTGAAAATCTGGACTCTGTAAAATGGCCACACAAGGTACTCAGAAATTGTGGATCTCTGGATTTGAAACATCTAAGGTTGAGGTCCAAGCCCCAAAACTATAGGGGGAGGGGAGGAAAACAAACAAACAAACAAAAACTTTAAAGGAAAGAATGAGTTCCTGCTTTACAAATTCAACCCTGTCACTTTGTCCTAGATGTCCTTTTTAAGGAAATCTTGTAAAAATTAAGAGAAACACACAAAATACTGGTTGGAACAGAGAGGGAAGTCACTTTACAATTTGAGAAATGGGACCCCTAGGTTACTATTCCCAGTCTCTCTACTGGACTGTGTAGTCTTAAACAAGTCCTGGAAGTGTGGCCAAGCCCCTGGGCTGCATCATCTACTTAGCTGCACAACAGATGTGTTGTGGAGCTCAGCTAATGTGCATGTGCCACGAACAAAATTCAACAGAAATGCCAAGAATTTATTGAATGTGAAAATGCTGACAGTGGTTTGGACTGATAGGGGATTGCTGAGAATCACAGCACAAATGTATGTGTTAGCAGATATTCAGACCTGTCTATGTGAGGAATTTAACTGAAGATGACTAAACCCAGAGCTCAGTCTTCCCAGGGTCTGCAGTACAGTCAGTGGTCAGAGAGAGTAAAGCTCTCGCAGAGGATCCATGCAGTGTATGTGCTCTGAACTGTCTTCTGCAGGAGTCCTTCCCCTTCCACTGGCCCCGCTGAGCATTTGATTACCTGCAGCAGGTACTGTGAATGCTCCAAAGAGCTCAGCCTCTTAGGAGCGGGCTTGAATTCTGTCCTCATCACTTTCAACAGAATTTTCTTTGCTTAGTAACATGCAGGCTTGCTCATTTCCCTAGTGCTATGATATGAAACTGTCAAAATAGCTTATACCAATGTCACCCAGCCTGTTTATGTTGCATCTTTGAACTGAGTATTTTTTAAAACTCAGTTATACAGAGTGTGCCTGTAGCTTAGACAAAAAAGACAGTCCTTGTACCACTTTCTGTCTATGGGAAATGGACTTGAAATGAAGCACTGAGGAATAGTATGGGTAAGATATAAGCAGGATGGGGGGTGCTTAACAGAGGGCAGACTTCTGAACCCCGAAGTGCAAAACAGCTGGTTGCTCAATCTGTAGGCTTTAGTTTGTGTGACTAACACACAAGTAGTAGATAAGCCAGTTCTTCCCGACCTCTGCAGTAGTGTGGCTGCAGTGGGCAATCTTTACAAAGGGATGAATTGTTCTTAAACCCCAACTGGAATATGCTGCACACAGGGGGCTGTTAACTATGTAAAACACATGCCAGTGTCTAGCCTTTTGTCATCTTGAGCAGACCTAGCTGCTTTGGAAAGCAGAAAGCTTTCATCAGCTATTTGCTTTCAGGTTGCCTATCCTCTTTCAAACAGTTTCTTGAAGAGCACCACAGTGCTCGTTTCACACTGTAGGAGACAAGAGCTGAAGGCAGGGCTAGGTCTACAGGTGCTGCTGCCAGTGACTGTAGCCATACAGAGGATGCCAGTGAGAGCATGGTCTTTGCCCAGATGCCCCTGTGGTTGTAAGGTGAGATTCCCAGCATCATCCTGCTCAGGAAATCAAGAGGATTTTTCCATGTTTTAAATGATAGCTGAAGTAAAGCAGATCTGAGAACTGGTGAAAATCCCACCCAAATATACACGCAGATAAACGTGATAGATGGCAACTGTGCTGTATTGAATGGCTCTTGCTGGTAACCTACATAATTCTCATATGACGCATGGCGTTGGCACGAGGGCTGCTCACAACTAGGTTCCTGATATGGATCTTGCTTATTGTCAATAACTTTAATCAGTTTGTCTTTGATGAAGGCTACTGGAACAAATATATAGGATACTGCCACTTTGGTTTCTACTGCGCAGTTGCCCCTGAGCAGCATGATTTTTGATAAAGAGAGCAAATATCAAGTGTAAATTTTCCTCTGTTTTAAAGAATATTTCTCAAATGTAAGGTTGAACCGCACTTAGAAAGTAGTGGTCCTATACAAGAGACAAGCTTATCCTAAATTGCAAAAGGGGACCACTGGAATTTCCTGTTAGTGGTTGTGGGCAAAGTTAACATTACAACCACAGAGCCTTCTTGTGAATGTAAATCCTCTCCCCTGATGTGCACACCTGGCTCTTTACACCATTGTGATGGATACTTTGTGCTGCTACCCAGAAGACTCGCAGTTCACTAGCCAGAGTTGTGTTCACGTTCATCTTTAAAACTGACTCTTCTTGCAGGCTGTGATTTTTTCCTTCAAACCAAACAGCTCCGAGGAGGCTGTGATCAACCTCTAGAAGGACACATTGAATGATTAGAAAGAAAAGGCCAGAGTTTTCTCCTTATTCTTCTGGTTCCATATACCCTTACGCATTTCATCAGGTGCTTTTCTAAATTATAACATTCACTCCTGCAAATACCTTTACCTTTTCCTCTGCTTCTTCGTGTACTGCTTTACTTATATTTGTGTGAGCAGTATCACGCTGTGTTGAATATTAAATTACTGCAATACATATAGAAGTGTATTTACATATTTCACTAAGAGCTCATTGGGAAACTAAGTTAGCTTTATAACAGCTGAGGCATTTGTTTGTACGATCGTTTTAGTGCAGACAAATGAGTCAGACTTGTTCCTTGTGTAGCATTAGTTCCATGCAACTGTTAACTGCTACAGCTGAAAAGAAATGTTTATTAACATAAGAACTTTTCTTGCCTTTGAAATTTCAGTGTCCTCAGTGAACTGAGTTTTAAAAAAATCCTGTTCACTGTAATTTCTTTAATGTAAGATGAGATGCAATATCATATCAGATACTGCAGTGTGTGTAAGTGTACTCACAAATATACATATATTTATGTTAGTATATACTTATATGTAGAGGCATATATATATGTTATTCTTTTTCTCTGAAGGTTTGTAGTCATATATGCACTGTGGATTAAATAAGTTGCTATGGATGTAAATGATACAAAATGATTAAGTAGCCCAGCTGTCTGTGGTCAAATACAGCATTTCACCAAATGCTTCTCCAAAATAAAAACTCTTCCAAGGAGTAATTTATAATTTAGACCTGTAAAAAGGTTTCCTGGATAGTATTTGTTTCCCATGTGTAATGTGGTTTGCAATCTACTTTCGGATCCAGCTCTCTGCATTTGTCTCTGAAATGGGTTTGGTGATGGATGGTGGCAAGCTGCCTAAAGATGACTAGATATTTTGCCTCTCTAACATATGTCTCCGGAGTGGTGAGTTAGTGTCTAGCATCATGTTAATGTCACAAAGTAAAGGAAATGGGGTGAGAGTCACTAATGAAAAATGACTTGAGCCGGACTCATAGAAGAACTAGTGAGCCAGCTACCAGGTCTGGATCCTCTTCTTCCATAAAGCCTTAAATCTCTTCTCTGAGAAGGTCTTGATCAAGCAGAACAGCTTTTGAGATTTTTTTCCTGAATAGGAACATAATCAAAACTTGTTGAAAGCTTAAATGAAAACAGGCGTGGGTTGGGAAAATCAAATGGCAGGGTGGGTCTAGGTGAGGCAGGGTGTCAGAGCAGTGGTGGGGCTTTGGTCTGGGATGTAGAAGGTCCTGGAGCCAACCTCAACATGGCTGAATGAAAGCAGGTGGCTTTCATCCTTTATTATTTTTGGTGACCTGACCTGAGCTTCAGTGCCCTGTGCATAGCTAAGTCCCACTCATTAGGATACAGATAGGTAAAACCTCTCCTCTATCATGCCAGCACAGCCTCCAGTGCAATACATTTTGGTGACTACTGGTGAAAATATTCTTGCTATTAAACCCTGTGAAACAGGCACCTTGCCACTTTTGTGTGGCTCTTTTTTTTTTTTTTTTTTTTTTTCTCTCTCTCTCTCTCCAGACCTGAAATTTCATCTAACAAGCCTGGGCTGCCCCCAGCCCACTGTCTGTCAGCTGCCTAGAGCGTGCTGGCACCATGCAGCAATGATTACCATAAAATACTTCTACTAATAGAGCATTACTCCAGGAAGGGTTTGCCTTGTGTCAAGGCTCAGAAATAGAACTTTGGGTGCCTTCAGAGCATCTTTCTCTCTTGGTGGGATTTTCAGCCTAACTTTGGGAAGGAGTTGCCAAATTCTGTGTTTGTACTTTGTGCAGGGATTAGCAAAATACTACTTTTTTTTTCTCATTTGGAATATATTTGATATCTTGAAATCCAGAGAGCAAAGAAGTAGATACTATCACATACTATGCTTAGAACTGGGGACATCCTATGAATATCCTGTATAGAAAACTGATTTTGATAAGGCTATTTCTCCATTAAAAAACAGAATTGCACACGGTGACTTGTACTTTTAATTCACGAACTAGGATAGTTTTTGTCAGATTGTTTTCATTAATTAACAGATTCAAGGAGACTGAAATCTGTTCAGATGCCCGGTAAAGATGTAAGAGCCAAATTCACCAAGTGACAGGCTTACAGTGTGGTGCTTTTCATGTTTTCACCTGATGTTTCAATTACATCTCTGTAGGTCCGAGCATTTTTCACCTTGATATGAGAACCAACGTGCAAACTGCAAACCCTGGCAGTGCTGCTGGCTGCCTGGGGTCAGCTCCAAGCAGGCTCATGTCTCTCTCCCCCTTCTCCTGCTGAGGTGTTTCTGCTGGCAGCAGCCACAGCATTCATGCAGCTAGGCTGGAGGCTCAGTCCATTGCCCATACTCTGTGTACAGTGGTGGCCAGCATGCCTGCCATCTGAAGTGCAGGGGTTTCCTGAGCTCGGGACAGATCCACTTCCTTTCCTGAATCTGTTCAGTAGCCTTTTGAATTGATGTTGATATCAGCCTAAGCATCTGTAGAAATCCTTGCCAGCATGTTGTTGCAGTTTAGCTACACGTGGCATGAGGAACCACCTCCATTTGTTTATTCTGAACCTTCTGGCTGTTGGTAGTTTCATGATGATCCTCCATTCCTCCTCTGAGGAATGATCCTCAGTGGTGATCCTTCAGTCCTCCACTGAAGGAAAGAACAGGCATCCTCTCACCATCCAGTCTGACATAGCATTCACCTTTATAAATGCTTCTGCAATGTGGAAACAAAACACTGATTCTAGCTTTAGGCAATGCAAATTAAAACTGATATTACCTATCTCAGATGAGCCAATTAAGCAGCAAGAAGTAGGCTGGCTGCCTTTTCACAGCATACCCTGATATTCTGCAGCTTTCAGATAAGACACTTGATTTAGGTGTCAGGTGTGGTCTCTGTTTTCTAAATTGAGTGGGGAAAAAAAAATTATATCCACTCTTTGACTGGACTTCAGGGTTGTGGTTTGTTTGTTTTTTTTTTTTTTTCTTATAAAAAAGGAGGTGGGTGGTGTGGATGTGTCCATAACATTAGCAGCTCTGACTCAGACGCACAAGAAGCACATCTGCAGAAGGAGAAGGTGTAGTTTTTCATATGAACTGTTTTCTCACTATAACCACACAGTGACAGACTGGAATGAAAACTCCAAAAACTTCAGTCAGCCTCTGGCTCTGTGCAGAAAGTCTTGCACTGTCGAACCTCCAGGGAACATTTGATTGTTTGGCTCAAAGGCAGAAGACCATGTAGAGACTGGGAGTTTATTCACTGTGGTCACTGCACCTCCAAAAAGATAGGAAAAAATGCAAATGTGCTCCAGCCTGATCTGGGCTCCAAGCATGCAACAAGTCATATTTTTTTTTTACTTTAGCTGACAGTAGAAATTAGGGCTGTAAAAGGTCTGCCTAGCAGAGGATTATATGAAACTGAGACATAGCTCCAAGCAATTTTTGCTCAATAAGCACGTCAGCTGCAAGTTGAAACAATCCATAATGAGTGTGCTGCAGCCTAATGTTCAGATGGTTTCTTTAGGATAACTGCTCAATGGGGTGGTTGTCCCTTTGCAGAGCATGCTGGAAGGTTCAGCTAGCAATGTAAGCGTCTTCCTGCACCATTTCTGAGCACCTCCAGCAAGGTAATGAAATCCTTTGACCTTCCCTGGCTTCATTTCTGTTTTAAAGGGAAGTCAGCAATCTACAGGACTTGATTCTTTTGCTGAGAATATTATCCTTCAACAATATTCAAGAATATTCTTAGGATAGTATTCTTATTCTTATATATTGGTAGTTGGACTGCTAATTAAACATAAAGTCTTTTGCAGCTCCAAAAATAATATAGCTGAATATCCATTGTCAGAGAATTATATAATTTGATAATGGTTTTAATGGGAGGTTTATTTGTATTTTCCTCTTGCTTGTGGTAGCTGAGCGCTGGAGAGCCCTCTTGTGCTGGGTGCTGTACACACCCTGTTCAAAAGGAGGATCCTTGCCATGAGTCCCCAGCCTGAGCAGGGGAATCCTGGGCAAGGATTTGGGTGTGTAAGGGTGCAAAAGAGATGTTTTTGGGCAGTATGAGGGAGGAGTGCAGCCAGCCAAAGCTCAGCCACTCTATAGGCACCGCACCTGAAGAGAGGCTAGAAAGAGGTTCTTGATACTCATTTATGCTCGGGGAGTTTCTGTAAACTGAAAGCACAGCTTCATTCCCATTTTTGTCGGTGTGATTCACTGCACGACTTGTGGTCTGGTATCCATTGTCTTTCTGTTTCCTGGTGTGAAAGCTGCTACCTTAGGCAGAGCTTCCAGACAAAGAGATTAAAGTTTGCTGACGTGACAAATCTTATTTGGCAGATTCCAGGATTTAGAGACTGAAATTTCTTGCACTTGGTGAACTTCTGCAGCATATCCAAAGCGGAGTCCTGAGGTCACCCCATCTCCCACAGACATCTGCCCACAGCAGTCCCTGGGAGACTGGCCACCAAGCCAGGCAGTCTGGGAGCCCCCAGCCCTCAGTGACACTGACACCTGGCTTTGCTGCTGGTATTTGGGCAGAGGCAGCTCAGTGGGCAGCTTCCTGCTGAGTGGAGGGTTAGGAAGAAAAAAAGACTTCATCTAATTCAAACTGAAACTCAATTTTGAAAAAAGGTGATGATTCCTGTTAGCAGAAACCCTCTTTCCTGGTTGTCCTCCATTCTAACTTTGACCTTCTCATCTAAATAAAGGATGTCTGTGCTTCGTGACTTCTGGTAGTTTCAGTACACAAGGAAGGTATGTAAAGACAGTGGATTATAATGATTAATGTTAATGGGAAGTGAGAAGGGAATTATTTGCATTCAAGCTATTAATATGTCTCCTAACACTGTTTCTCTCTTGATCAGTGGGAAAGTCAGACTAGATTTTAATAGGTGATGTTATATAGTTCCAGAAACAAATGATCTGACTACTGTGGTTGGAAGGGAATTTACACTAACAAAGCCTAGATAACGTTTTAGGCCAATAAAATTTATGTGGCGGTGGCATAGATTTATACAACATGTGGGCCAGAAGGGAAAGTTAGATATTATAGTGTAACGTAAGCCATCAATTTTCACTTGATTTCTTCTTGTCTTTAGCCCTGTTTTATTGTGACAGCAAATTCTAACGTATTATCAGGTAGCTCCTTGGATCTGTCTTCTTCCGTTTTTATCCCATTAGTACAAATTTGAGAACAAAAATTGATAAATTGGTATCAATAATACATGTATTAGTTATGAAGTTTTTAACTGCCTGGATGCTTCTAATTTTCACTCTGTGTTTTTGTACCTAAAGTCTTAGAATCACCATATAGGAAAATTCAGAGGAGACTTGTTCCCCCAGTACCCACCCCGCACTGTGCAGAAGACCCCAGATGGAGTTGTATCATTCTTTCTAGCTTGGTGTCTACCACGGCCAACAGCTTGCTGTGCCAGCACTCCCGATCCCCAGCTCAGGTAAGGGTGCTGCTGCTTCGTATGTGGCTTTGTGGTGTGATGTAGGAGGGGTGAGTGAGCCTTCTGGTGGAATTAGGATTCCTTATATCACCAGTCTTACCACAAGGGAGAGCAAGGCTTTAAAGTGAACTCTCTTTGGGCTATGAGTCAAGAAATCTTCCTCAGAATATCTATCTCCATCAGAAACTGTCTTCTCCATCCCCCTTTCAATGCACACAAGCCCATGACCAAAACTGTGGTCTTAAGATGTTCCTTGGCTCTTTCAAGATGCTCAGCAGCTCAGATAGCAGATCTTAATTCTCCTTGATGTCACATTAGCAGTTCTCAGAGCAGGAGAATCTTGGAAAATGGTAAGGATGGTAGCACCTGTGGGAGAGGACAGAGGGTTTCCACGCAGCAAGGCTGGAGCAGTGGCAGGAGGAGCTGCGGGAGGAGGAAGCAACTTGGCCCCAAACCAGAAGGGGAACTTCAGAAGCTGTGATGACTGCTATACCCAGGTCAGGCTGTGATGAAAAGGTGGGGCAGTTAGCTCCAGGTAGCGTTGGCAGACATTGTGCTTGCTAGTTGGATCAAGTTTTCCATGTTTTAAACCCCAGAGAGCACTTTGGATCTGTAGGACAAAATGCATCTTGCTGGCTGTATTGAATCCTCCCCATTACCAACATATTTCTATTCCACCGTTCCTGATATTGTAAGCTTTTGACAGCGTTATCCCTTCAAATCCTATTCCTGTTTACGTTCTCACAAATTATTGGCCATTTTGTCCTCATCAAGTAATACAATTGAGATGTCTCAGCACTTCTGCTGATCCATGGCATGCTGTTGTGCTGGAGGCAGGCTGTAGAGAAGTGAGCTGTCATGGCATAAAGCAGCAAAATGTGAGCAAGTTGGCACTCAGAAGTGGTCAACATCAGCAGCAATAACTGGGCGCCTAATCAGAGGTGACTGTCTATGTGGAAGAACTTACTTCATGTCTCATTTGGAACTATTGGTAACTCTCTGGATGTGGAGGTCTTGGGAGTGATTCACATGCTTTTAGCCTTGGGGTTACTTGTGACTGCATTCACAAACACAAGCCAATAAATTAAATCAGATATATGAGATTTTACTGTGGTATATTACAAATTAACACCGACTTGATTTAAGAAAATCCCAGAGTTAATCTTGAGTTTCTGCAGTGTAAATGCTTCATTTATTATGTACTTTCTGGGAAACATAAGTTGTTAACCTACAATTTTAGAAAGCTTCCTTTAACTTTTTTTTTCTATCCTATTAGTTTCCTTTCAGAAGCAAAGGCTCTGTATTATCAGTATACTTGGCAAAATGATTCCCTTGGTTCTTGCCTGTTCAAAGATAGCAAATTGCTATCCTTATTTTTGCTTCTCTCTCTTGTAATTCCATCTTTTATTTATAAAGCCTTCCACTGTTGTATATAACATCTTATTGGAAAGCCAACGAGACATAGTGTAGCAGAAAAGACTCTCTAACTGGAAGCCTCTGAGAGGCAGAAGAGAGTACAGAAGGGTGAGTGTTGGTCTTTGTCGAACGGAAGCAAAGAAATCCCTGGTGGTGGTCCCTCTGCCACTGCTCTGCCTTATGTGAAAGGTCAAATACTGAACATAGCACACATACTACATGAGAAGTCAGTGATCTCATGACCTTCCTCTGTCATGTATATGATTTTTTTCCATGCTATTTTTTTTCCATATTACTCATAAAGCTCCGAACGCTCTTCTTGCCCCAAACTGGAAAACTCCAAGCACTTTTTCTTTACTACAAATTATTTCAAAGTTGTGGTGTCAGGATAATTTGCATAACACTTCAGGCTTCTCCAAAAGAATAAAATAAAATAAAAAAAGCACTTCAAGTCTTAAAACACTTTTTTTTTTCTTAATTATTTTTTTTTTTTGTCAGTATTTTCAGCTTTACCATCATGTGAGTGAAAATTAAGGACTTGTTTCCCCAGGATGCTTGCTGGACCTCCCAAGAAAGCTACATGACTGCATTTGCTACCAGCTCCTATGTATTCTAAAACTACACCTAAGCCTACAGAATTTGAAGAAACATATTACCAGTAGCTATAATTAATGATCACACTTAATACCAAAAATCAGGCGAACAATGTAGGCATTGCTTTTGTGTTGCATTATAATTTCTGGATCTTCATTTGTATGTGCCATTTATGATGCATTGTAATCCCCACTCCACCATCTCTACCTTTCACAGTCTTCCAATATCTATCACTCTGTCTGTAAATAAGCTAATTACCATGCTTTTCTTGCACGAGCAACCCCTTCACTGTACGTAAACCAACTATTTTCTTTTTTAATCTTGGATTGTCTAGGTAACACATACCTAATTATATGCTTAGAAATTGTTCTCACTTTGCATTTAATGCCAAAATACGGTTCTTGTCTATTTTCCTGAATATTCTAATTACTCTGTCCCCTTAGAAAGGGGTACTTGCATGTCAAACGTGCTTCAGAAAGACTCAAAAAAAACAACAAAAAAAAAGTGGGTTAATCCATTATTACAACCTCTACATAAAATAATTTTTTATGAAAGGAACACAAAACAGAAAGAAAGAAGGAGCAGTTTAGAGGAGGTAAAGCATCTTTTTATTACTTCAGTAATTAACTACAAAGAACATAAAGTCAACAGAAAATGACAAAATGTAACAAATTGAATATAATCTTCAAAGAAATGGCAGATTGATTTCTGGGACAAGTTTTGATATTATGTTGAGACACTAAAAGCAGATCATTCTCAGAGATCTCGGAAGGAGCAGGAGTTGTTGGTTTAAAATCCAGCTGACAAAATGTAAATTTAATGGTACATACTGAACAAGAGATAATAGATCTAAAATAAATACTGATTTGTTATTGATAACTAACTTTGCTGCAGATTAAGAACTTGAACAAAGGAGTTATTGAAATAGACTCTCGCCATCCTCAATAATGCCAAATTCTTTTTTTAGTTCACTGTCTTCTTCCCAACATGCTTCTTTCCCTCTTGTTTTTGGCAAGTCTTCTTTGGATGGGAAGGCAGCCTTGCTGAGGAACTGAAACAAGAAAGAGTAGAACTTTACTACCTGAAAGTGAGTGTTGGATAGCAGTTTCCTCCGCCCCACTTTATTTCACAGCTTGTTTCTACATTCTTCCCTACTTCAGGGCATGAAGGAATCTTTCTAAATATTCTAGTTACACTGGTAACAGGTATTATCCTTGTTTATAAATCTTGAAAAGAAAACATTTTGCACAGGTGTCCTCCTTGTCAAGCCACACTTGCATGTCAAAAGTTTTTCAAGACTGGGGCTTAATCATGCTGTTGTAACCTCTATGTAAACTTAATTTTCGTGAGATGAGATTAAGACAGAAATAAGACAGACATAAAATCTTTACATTTAAAGAAGATACAAAGTCATTTTATTTCTTGAGTAATTCTAACCACAAAGAACCTAATTTCAAGAATCATCTGAATCATGAATGCTGATGGATAATTCAGAGTTATTCCTGTTTCTTCAGGCTTAAAACTAAAGATCAGGATTTCTACCTCAAAAATTGTTTGGGTAAAGTGTTTGTATCATTGATTACGGCAATAAAATGAAAAAAAAAAAAAAGAAAAGAAAAATACTAAAAGAAGGGACTATTTAGCTAAAAATTGTCAAATACAAAAACCTTGTCATTCTAGACAAAACCTTGTCATTTCTAGATAGTACACTGTTATTTGTAGCTGGTTTGGCAATTTCAGATGGGTTTGATCTAGACTCCAAACAAAATTATAAAAATGTTGGTAACTAGAAGGAAGAGTGAAAACAGAGTTAGGCCTCACTTTTTAGAAAATGTGATTATTTATGTTGTGTTGGTTTTGGCACAGTGCTGGAAACCTGATGTTTGAGGGATATTTCTGGAATTGAATAATGGGAGAGAAACGTCTAGTTTGTATGTATTATATAGCTTGTATTTGCCAGAAGTGGTGTGTTTGTGGGATAGTTATAGATGGGAACTCAGCTTCACAAAGATGAACTGGGTCTGTGGGGACCATACATGCCTGGAGCAAGGTTGCAATGAGGGCTACCCTAGACAGCAGAAAATACACGGTTGGAAGGTTAGTGGGATAAGGCTTAGACTTCACACGTTTATTTTGCACTGTACTTTAAAAAGGCATTCTTTTGTGTGTGTGAGAGCAGGAAGCCACTTCTTCATTACAAGGTATTTGCTGTCAGTAAAGATCTAAATCGCCTGATGGGTAGAGGAACCTGTAGGGTGGTAAATGGTACATGGTTTTCTGCCATTCTAATAAAATATTCCCTTTTTGCCTGTTAACAGAGAAGAGCAACCCATAACCTTCAAGACCTTTTCTAAAATATACTCCTACGTTAGCTTTTCCAAATAGGACATCTTGTCAAATTTATTACGCTGTGTAAAAGAGATACTAAATAGAGTAAGAAATAAACACAAAACAATGGAGCAGTTTATACTTGCCTGATAAAGTACCCTAGCACTCTACTCAGTTGAGTTCATGGCACTTCCAATCTTATTTTGCTTTCAGGAAATGAGAATATGCCAATGAGATGCATCTACATCTGCACAGCTAGCAACTGTGTAGTGCTTGGCTTTTAGTAGACGCATTCAGAAGAGAGAGCACATCCTTTTCTTTTACTGTAGTTTCATAAGAAAACCGGAAAACATTGCAAACAGCATACCAGGTCAAGTGCAAAAGGTGTAAGTCCTAAGATGCTCGGGTCATAGGCCAACAAGCTTATATTGACATTTACAGTTAGGCTGTTTAGTAAAATTAAAGCCAGAGCTCCCAGTCATTTGAGTAGTGTTATTGGATTACTGAGTAAAAGATGCATACAGTTCTTATGAAAGGCCACATCGTGTCTTGCTGCATTTTGTCAGGTTATATCACCAGAGAAATAACCTCTTTTCAGGCTCCTCTAATGGCTACTCAGCCTGTCCGCCAGCAATGTACTGATCATTGAAGAAAAAGGCATTTGTTAAGCAGCTTTGACTGCCTTCCTGCAGGCTACCTACCCAGGAATAATACTCAAACCAGTTAATATAATGAAGTTCAGTACCATCTGAAGTAATTCAGGTAGAAATGAAGGAACTTATTCTGTGAAAGAATAGACAGCTCCCACTTTGTCACAGCAAGTGTGTGTAACAACCTTAAATTACCAGGGTTCAATGCAGCAAAAACATCAGCTTCAAGATAATGGCACAAACAGGCAGGCCAAGGGGACGTTATAAAACCAGTACCAGTAGTATATCCAGAAAGTCTGAAATGGTCTGTCTGGATTTATGCATTGTATGATACCATATGCTATTGTTGCTCTTAAGGTTTTCTGTCAGTTTGAGTTGGTGTTGGATGCAATTATGGTTCCCCCATTGTTTAAAGAGAAAAGACTGGGTCTCTTCCTCACTATGTTACATAAGAATGCCTGTTTGAGTGTGAAAGCAAACTCTAGGACATGTCTGTCTCTAAGGACATTCAGCAGTAAGCAATCTGGGGCCATAGCTAGGTAGGAAAGAAACTCAGAATAACAGATTAGCAGTTGCCTGTTTTGCAGCCCAGGCATTCAGACAAAATGCTGCATTTTGTCAGTAGTACTCACTACGTGAGTACTATGTGAGTACTACTGTGGTAGTACTCATCAGTAGTATATATAGTGAGTACTACTGATTTAGTGTTCTTGTCAGTATTTTGTACGCAGAGAGTTGGTACTCGAATATATTTTAATTCCAGATTGAGACTGCCCAGTGAAATGGCAAGCTGAGCTCCGTCTTCTCTCTCCCTGCTGTTACTTTCCTATTGAGTGGGTCCTCAGTCTCCATACTCCCACCAAAGGAGTGAGCTACCCTGGGCTGTCCCTCTGTCCATTGACAGTACAGCCTCTTACGAAACTGCATGTAGGTCAGATTTTAATTATATGCCAATTACTTCACTGTGCCACAGGATTTCAATATTGCCGGTAAAACCCTTGAAAAATATATTGATAGGCATAGTTCTTCATAATATTGGTATTTTATTAGCTGCAGTAAAAAAAAAAAAAGTTAACTGTTAAAATGACTGCTGTTTAAAGTTGACTTTCTGAAAAAGATCACACATAACAAGCTATAATGGCATTTAATTCAACAAGTAATCTAGAGCAATCTGTGTAATAAATTCTGGTTAGTGGTCTTCTGTAGACGTCAGCAGCTCTGAGTACCGGAGGCCTGTTTCTCTGTAGGTATCACATGATGGTCCTCCCACAGCACTGGAAGCCTGTTAACTCCATCACTTTTCCACGAAGGGAAGAGAGGACACATTCAGGCTGTAATAATGAAACCACTCAGCAGAAGAGATTCTGAGAGAAGGAATGGTCAATGTGTTTTCAAGATATTATATATGAAAGTAATATATGAAAGTATATATGACAGCTGAGATAATCTTAAAAAAGAAAGAAATTAATAGAATCAGAATAGAAACACAACAAGCAATCCTCTCCAAACAACAATTTGAAGTTTTGTAGTTCAAGAGCAGAGAGAACCATTTTTCATGTCTACTGCTTTTTCTTATACTTTGCTTCTACTGCTATTTCTCATTCTTTAAGGATTTTAAAAGATTGTTTACATTTGTTCTTTCTCTTGATGCTGTCTTTACAACTGGTACATCTGCAAAGAAAGTATCCTTTCACCAACCGGAAAGTAAAGTTTTACTTTTTGGAAAATTCATTTGCATCATCTTGAATGCACAGGGTTTTTTTTAAGCGCTCTTCCCAAAATAGGATCTGGCAGATGTGTGGTGTTTTTTCGATTTACACACTGATGGCATAGATTTTTTTTTCCCACCTTTTTCTTGTTCTGTGCTGTGCTGCTTCTCTGGGTTGAATGCACTTTCTCCTTCTTCTGAGTTGAGATTACTTCCATTGCTTTAGTTATTTTAGTTCCCTTTGCCAAAACCGGTTCAGGTGACAGAGTGTGCTGCTGAACAAAAAGGCTCCAATATACATACATTGATTTTACTTCAATTGATGCTGATGACTCTTAACGTGACAGTTTTTATTAACTGAATAAAATGATCTAATCTAGGCAAATCTGGACAGCATAACTTAGTTTGGGTTTTTAAGATAAATTCCAAAATTAGTGTCTTTGCTAAACATATAGGTTAACTAAATGTTAGTAAAAACAGATCTGGGCTGGGGTCCTGTGGTTTGACTAGTTCAATATTTGAGGAAAATTTAAACGCATGTATTAGTTTCTATTGTGATTACTCTCATGTGCTGTTGAAGGGGATACAACAGCATCTAATAGAGATATAGAGATTCTGATGTGCTGGTATATTTATTTAAGCTGCCATCAATTAAATGTGTGTAATTTCAGAGTATTTATGCAGAATTTATGACAGTGTTATTAAATAGTTATCAGAAATAATTTAATACGTACATATGAAAAAGACACACTTTATTAGGGCATGGTGCAACTGGAGATGTGATTAACAGATTAAGACAGCAGAGACCTCCCATTCCCTGTATGAAGAAGTTCTTTCCCGCTTGAAATCTTAACTATTATGATACAAGTTACCTTTAGCCAGATCTGCTATTGTTTCCACAGTGTTTAGTCAAAGTTTGCAGAAAATGACAGAATATAACAACAGAATGTAATCTGCAAAGACAGAGGTCCCTGACTTCCAGTAACCCTGATAAAAAATATTGGCGCTGTAAATCTTTATAAACCATGTGAGGCTCTCAAATGGAAAATGGTTTATGACAAGGGCTCAAATGTTTCGAAGAGTGTACTAATAATGTGTAATGATCACATCAAGGTGATGAATGCTTTTATATTTGTATATGGACAATTAGGTGTCCTATGTATATGGACAAAAGTGTCCTTTGACACTTTTTTCTATTTCTCTGTCCTGGTGGTTACCTTCCATTTAAATGTAGAAGCTCTGTCAGAATCCTTTGTAAGTTCACTCGTACTTATCCTTGTGAGATGGACTCTTACATCTTTAATAATACCGAATTCTTTCCTGAGTTTGTTGTCTTCTTCCTTACGTGCTTTTTTCCAATTTCTTGTTTGCAAGTCTTCTTTGGATGGGAAGTCAGCCTTGTTGAGAAACTGAAACAAGAGAGTAGAAGTTTACTAGGTGAAAGTGAGTGTTGGGTAGCAGTTTTCCTCCCGCCCGTTTCTTTCATGTCTCATTTTTACATTCTTTCCTACTTCAGTACCATGGGGTGGGACTAATTAAATTCAGGATTCAGTCAGTTCACTCATTGCCAGCCAGCCCTTTCTCTCTTCTCTTAAATTTCACTGATACTTTAAAATGTGATCCTGATGGCACTCATCACCTGTCTTTTGAAACAACACCTACTTCCTTGGGAAACACCTTGCCATTATACTACTTCCACACTTGCTATTCTCTAAATAGCAACTGGCTGTTCCCATAAATGCAGTGCTTTCACCCTGCTCTGATATTAAAAGTCGTGATGTGTCCCAAGATGGATTTTTTTTTCTAAGCACTACCTATTTATTTATTTATTTATTTATTTTTAACTGTCTCAAAGTCTCAAAAACCTGCAAACCTCACTTTGATTTACTCTACAGTGATTTGTGCCCACTGGAGTTGTGTTTGATTTCTCCAAAAAATTTAAAGCACAGTCAGGACATTTGTCTTTCACAGCATTTGTTCTGTTATAAATCTGCTGAATAATGTACTTTGATTGCATTTGACCGTATCTAAGAGGAGACTAATTTACTGTCCTTACATATACATTCAACTGATCATCACAGGGTACTTATTGCCTGTTGTCCTTTCGCACTTAGAGGACAGCACTGCTTGGGCTGAGACATGGTAGTCATCCTGTGTGAAAAGAAATGTGTTACCTTTGAAATTTCATCTTGGTGGGTAGCAAGGGTTGGAAGACATTTTATGTTCTGTTTTGCAACACACTGTCTTGACAGGAGTGTATCTGAGACTTTGGGAGTTACGTCATGGATAGCTCTGAAAGGAATGAAACAAGTTGTGGTTTTCCTAAACAACGTTTTTCGTCTTTGTATTTCTATTTCTAGTGGCAGAACTTCATGACTCTTTACGTACAGGAGGTAGACTTTCCCAGTATGAATCATCACAGCATTTTCCTTAAGGATTGGAATTTTCATTTTCTCTTCAGTAGGGCTGACAGATGAAAGTGGTAAAATATTTTTATAATCCTTATACTTGATATCATTCAATGATCTTAAAATTCCTGAAACAATGCTGTTAGATGACTTTACAATAAGAGGATATGGTCTTGCTGTCTTGCTGACTAGCTTTTCTCGTGCAAACTGTTTCACTGGGGTTATCTGGGAACTTCTCACATCTTCAGTTACTTTATCAGGACTACAACAGGGTCTTGCTAAATTTGTGCTGGTTGGTATTAAAGACTTTGGAAAATTGTCCCAAAAGGGTTTGGAAGCCTCTTCCACCTTTATTACTGGCGAAATATAAGTAACAGTTGGTATTTCTGTAGTCTCCCTTACTTCAGTGTCATCTTTAGTTCTGTCTGACATCAGTTGCTGCATCATAGGTGGGAAAGAAGAAAGTGGTACTGATAAGACTTTGGCTTCAGGTGGTATCTCTAAATCATACTTTAAAATCTCAGCTTCAGATTCTTCAGTAACCTTAGGAGGTTCACAGATTTCTGAAACCGGTGCTTTGTCCTCTCGATCAGTATGAGTTAGTAAGGGGCATCTTCTCAGAGAGAGCTCTTTAACTGAAGTTTCATTACTCTGAGTATTAAACACCTTTGAGGAGAACTTTTCTCTGTCAGCAGAAGTCATGCCAACATTTTCTAGCGTGTTGAAACTTCTGGTAGAGAAATTTTCCTCACTCTTCATTTGCTGATACTCTAGCACCAGAGCAGATGTAGTACTGGTTCCTGGCATCATAAAAGCATTATGGTTTTGAAAATGTATTCTGCGTAGACAGATGAGTTACCATGTGCAGGTGGTGGTACACATTAGCAAGGCTTCCCAAGGAAAAAGAATGCAGAAGCAGTTTCAGTAGGTCTCATGTATCTTCATTTCTTTCCTGAAGGGCTACATCTATGCAGTCTGACAAACTTAAAATAAAAGTTAATACAAATTAAAATGTGATCATATATTTCTAAATGTACAGAAATAGTGATTTTTTCTAGATGGTTGTCATATGAAATGTCATCCTAAAATAAAGCTTAAAAACAAATGTATCTGATTTAAGTATTAACTAAAGCTCATCTAGCCAGTATGATTTTTCTGCAATAATCACTCCTTGTGAGATACTTCCAATATTGAATTAAAACAGCAGTGAGTTTCTGCTGGCTTCAGTAAGAGTTAGGTTTTACCCCATAGTGCAAATTGCTGTTTGACAGGATCTGTTTTGAAACCATGTTCAGATGCTTATCAAATACATCTCAACACCTTCTAAGCACAGGTATAAGAGTAAGATTCTAAACAACTACAAGTACCTAGATGAGTCTACTGTAGAAGGAAACAAGAAATGTAAATTTGTATCATGAGGAAGGCAAAGACCCTCAGGTGGATTAAAAACAAATTAGTTTTGAATTGGCTCATTGTATTTCAGTGGTTATGTTCTCTCAGGAATAACCTACTTATCTTAGCACTACAGACTTGATTTTGTAGAAAGTAAACATAAACATTCACATTATTTGCATGTCAATCATACAAACCAGATGTTTCTTATCCTTCCCGATTATCAAAAAAGCCGTTGAATTCTCCTCTCTATGACTGAAGAGGTCCTACTACCTAACTGACTAAAAGAAATGTAATAAAGGCAGTAATTTCACTCTTATGAGTTCTGTGATCCTTTTAAGGATTGCATAAATTAACCTTTCTTAGTCCTTTTAACTACTAAAAATGAATAAATTGAAAAATAAAATGAAATTCTTCTTCTAGGCTGTGCCTCCTGCATTTATGATGGATAGATCTTGATGTAATCACATAATTCCACGAGTCTAATCAGGAATGATTAGAAATAATTATATTAATTGTCAACAAATTATTTGAATAATTGATTGCACATGAGTGAGAATAGCACTACAAGTAATGAGACACTGTGGTCTTCCTACAACAAAATGTGAGTTTGTATTTCTATTTCTGGTGACAGATTTTTATGCAGATTTTTCTGCAGAAAAATCCTATAGGTTAGATAAGCTTCAGCTAATACTTAAAGATGAGTGAGCCCCTCTGTAAAAGCAGAATGTAAGTCCTATTTTTTCCTTTGTTTCCTCCTCCACCTTTTTTATTTTTTTTTCATTTCTGGATTTAGGGATTCTATCTATGTTCATAATTATGATGTGATTGAGTTATGAGAAGTCTCCTGCTCCAGAAAGTCTGATATTGGCCTCTGCATTTGCTTTCTCACTCTTTTCATTGGCCCTTAATCCTGTCCCATTAAATATTCATCTTCTGGCATGCAAACACAGCCTCAGTGATTCCTGAGTAATCAGAAATTTACTACAAACTTTCCATCAATAGGAGATCTTCCCCAATATACCTAAACAAAAACAATCAAACAAAAATCCTAAGGACATGAATTGCTGATGTGTAAACACTCTTGGAAACTCAGATGCAGCAATTCAACTGGTATCAAAAAGGAAAGAAGAAAGGCTTGTGGTTTTGACACAGAGAAATCCTGGTTAGCTGTGAAACCAGCTGAAAAGAAAAAAAGATACTGCTGCAGAAGAAAAAGACTTCTTGATTCCCAAAAGCCATGACTCTCTACTGATTGATGTAGTGATACGGCTCGTCACACTCTTAGATTTTGCTCTCTGGAGCCCTGTGTGCCATTTAAAGACTTTCTAGGTAACAATCATTGCCGAGCAAATCCCACTAAAAGCACAAAAAAGCAAAAAACGTTTACTTTATAAATCTCACCTGTCGTGTCAGTGTTGCAGGAAAGCATCTCAGCTCACAGGCTGTTGAGGAGGCTCAGAGAGGCGTGAGCTGCCCTGTTCTTGCAGGTGCCCAAAAGCTTTGTGACTATCAGCACTGATAAAGTGGTTTAGCTTTTCTTGCCAGCAGGCACAGACAAAGCACACTTTGTGCCACTACCGCTGAGCAGTGCAGGGGATATATATTTTTGCAGTGTTCATCACTATAAGAGGTGCCAAGAGCTCTTTACAGACTGCAGCTGGAAGAGCAGGGGATGTAATCAAGATCTCTGACGAATCTCCACTGTACTGAAGGTATGACGTGTGGACTGTGGGCTAAGTATGGCTCACCAGAGCAATTATTTTGACCTATAACCTTCTCCTGGTGTGTTCATTCCAATGAACCATGCAGGAGCAAGAGGCATGTCAAGTAAAAATGTTTGGTAACAGCAGCACAGTCCCAGACACCATCTTTCCAGGGAAATTCAGGAGAACTCGAAGGTATGTGTGTATATACACAGTATGCACTCAACAACAAGTAAGCCTGCTAGTCATAGGAATGTCTGATCTAAGCATGTCTGTATGCACCAATTTTTAAGTCATCTTGGGCATGGCAATCTCCTTTGCCCTTGGAAGACACTGTATCTTTTGTTTGGCCAGAAAATGTGGGCATTGATTCACTCTGCTGTCCCTCAGAATTAAAAAACAAAAGCACAGGTACTTGACTATGATGAATCTAAAACCAGACCAATCTAGCAATCTCACACATGACTGAGGACTGTGTTAATACAAGTATTATGCAAATTTATAATGTCTTCACTCCTAACCCCCTGCTATGCACAGCAATCAGTTGACTCTCCTCATCTATCAGTACTGGAAAAACAAAGGAGTCTCAGTTCCAGCATTTTATTGACTTTAAACAGTAGCAAATCACACTGATGAAAAATGTATTGTACCTTACAGTTTTGTCAGTGTACACCTTATTGTACAACAGCGACCACAGTTGTATAATTTTGTTATTCCTTTAGTTCAAGAGATGACCATTTGCATTGACGAACCCTAGATCCTCAATGCCTTTTAAAAAAGAATGACTGTATTCACATACCTTAAAATGTCCTTCTTTACATGCACAAAAAATATGTAAACAAAAATTTCCTTTCTTTCATCATCTTTAAACCAACTAACAGCAAAGCAGAGCCTCAGACTTCGGAAACAAGCAGCACAGATTCCCTTATTACCTCTAGCTTACGTATACAAATCTTTTCTGTCAGAAATGATCTTACACTGTAAATTTTATGGCTGTAATTCACCACTGCCCTGGCTTCATCAGAGATGAAGACAGCAAGAGTCTTAACAGTTTATAAGCTTACAAAAATATTAAAACCCTCAAATATTTTTTGATTTTTGATCCTTATTTTTGAATAAAATGTTCACATGAATATTGCAACTATGAATTTATGAAAATGCTTGTGTTCTAATTGGATTTTCATTTGCAAAGCTTTGGCTTGGCATCTTAGTTTAGTTATAAAGTCTGATGAAAGTTTCTTATCAGAGTTCAGGGAGGATTCCAAGGCTATCCCTGAGAAAATGTGGATTTCCTGAAATACAGGCATGACTGCTGCTGCCATGGCATGGCCTATTTTTGCCTGGACTCAGTCTAAAGTCTATATATTAGCATATACAGGTATGATGCAGATTGCTAGATCTACAATGTGGTTTAACACACATAATTCCTTCCCTTTCTCAACAGCTGACCCATACTTAGGCTATCAAAAGTGCTGTAATGTTAAGGGAGAGAGCAGTTTCAGGAGTTACTAAAATGGAAAAATGTTTTGGTGTAAGGCCACTGTTTTAACAGTTCTCTAACAGTTTCTCACATCATGGGCAAACTGTTTAGGTGGAGTACTGTTTTCTGAGAAAGAAGTGTTAGCTTTCAGGTTAGCAGCCTATAAAGGGAGCACATTTTGCTGCTAGCAATCCCTCTGCCAGGAACTGAGCTTTAATGATGTATGTAAATCATAATGGAAAACATCCAGTGAGTGAAAGCCTAAACTGGCCTTCTGCCCTACCTCAGAAGGCTGTGAGGACGCTTTCATGGTTAATGTGTCTCCCACAACCCTGCTGCCCAACTGTTTACCCTCTTGCAGCTGGGGTTCCCCTTGCTGGCTCTTTAAGCAAGGCTACAACTCTGGCACACAAAGTTGTATTAAGCTTTACGGCAGGAGCACGTATGGGGTGAAAACATCAAATATGATTTACTTGCAGCTCAGCGGTGCTTGTGAGTGTTTACAAGAGGTAAATAATCACCTCATCAAACACAGCACCCTGCTGCAGTTCACTGCCTTGCACCAGTCCTGGCACAGAGGGCTAATATCACACTATGGGGGCCAGGGGCCCTTCTAGCACAGTTCCTGACTGTAGCCAGAAGTGGATGCTTTGCCAGAACTAACGAGCAGGGTGTGCGCATGGTGATCCTTCCTTCAATCTCCCTCCCCTCCAACAGATGGAGGCACTGGGCCTTCCTGAGCCACCGGCAACTTCTCTGTGGATTTGCTCCTAGCACCATGCCCAGCTGCCCAATGCCTCCCACATCCATGGCAGCTTCTGCCTCACCTCAGTGCCCAGCTGGGTCCCGTGCAGCCATGAAACTTCCTCAAGCCCACAGTTTTGAGGACAAACTCTGAACTCGTGGGACAAACTCTAGCCCTCCCAGTCAAACTGCAGTGGGCCAGGCCGGAGATGATGTGAGGGTGTGAGGGTGTGTGGTGCGGTTACCTTTACAGGAGCAGTGCAATGCCAGAGGATTAACAGCCAACTGCTGTGGAAACTGCTGCCTGTGGAGAACCTTCCAGAGCACCGGTGCTGGAGACCAACTGCTGCTGGGAGCCATGGAGGCTTAATGGCCCCTCCTACACCAGGAGCTCTCAACCTCAACTGCTGCTGCTGGTGGGATCCAGGGCACTGGGCAGAGAGGTGCAGGCACCACCCACCCCCCGGCCCGGCCGCAGGACATTGGCCCTTGGCGCTGTGCCTGCCCCACCAGCCCAGCTGGCCCTCCTCCTGTGCCCACCTTCTCTCCTTGCTGCACCACAGTGTGTGCTGTGTGATCTGTGGGGCCTCACAAATATTTGTGACCGCAGCACCCTGGTACCAGGCTGCATTTGGCCTCCACAGAGCCACAGCACAGGGGGCCCAGTGCATGGGGCATTCCCTAGGGCTCACTGGCCTTGCACACCACAACCCTATCCTGCCTGTGTGAGGGTGTCTCCCCTGGCCTCAAATTAACCTCACAGTAATAAGTAGACCATAACCCTGAACCTTGATCCAACAGCTTCGTGTGGCTGACAACAGTGGGACATGGCACATCACCTGTGGGCGATACGCTGCAGTGTGAATCTGGATGAGAGACAGAGCTAGATTTCTGATTGACTTAATGTCTGCAACCCATGTAAGTCTGGAGCAGAAGTCCTGTGAAGAGCAGCTGAGGAAACTGGGGTTGTTTAGTCTGGAGAAGAGGAGGATCGGGGAGACCGTATTACGCTCTACAACTGCCTGAAAGGAAGGTGTGGGGAACTGGGAGTCGGCCTCTTCTCACAGGTAACTAGTGACAGCACTAGAGGGAACAGCCTCAAGTTGCGCCAGGGGAGGTTCAGGTTGGAAATTTCTTTTTCGTGGAGAAATTTATTCTCAGAAAGAGTAGTCAGGCATTGGAATGTGTTGCCCAAGGAGGTGGTGAAGTCACCGTCTCTGAGGGTGTTTAAGAAAAGGTTGGAATTGGTGCTAAGGGACGTGTTTTAGTGGGTGACATTGGTGGTGGCCACTTTACTGTTCTTGTCCAGTTAGCAGCTCCTCTTAGAAGTCTCTGCTCAGAGCAGAGTCAGACATTCTATTTTGCACTAATCAGTGAAATAAAGCTAGAGAGATACCAAATAGAGATATAAAATGTCTGGTGAAGATAACCACATGATGCTCCATCTTGGAAACTCTGTCCACCTTTACTGAATTTCTCCAGCAGTCATTAGGTTAAATTCAACCCGATACATGAATTTCCTGGGATGGTTCACTGTCAGCCACAAGC